ATTAGAGCATAAGCTTTCGTGGACTACAGCCGAAGAAGTGGGCTGTAGTCCACGAAAGCTTATGCTCTAATAAATTTTTTAGTCTCTAAGGTGCCACAAGTACTCCTGTTCTTCTTTTTTCGTATTCTTAGCTTCAGATACAATGATGATACTTGCACCCAAATAGGATGAATATATTCAGTAGGCCATAAGATTTGAAATGATACCTTACAAGAGACCTTTTGCATAAAGCATATTCCAGTTACATTACATTAAAACTCTTAAGCATATTTCCATAAAACATTATGGAGTGCAACGTTACAACTGAATCACCCAAAAGTAATAATGTTAAAATGTCACTTCTCAGGTATCGCCAGCTCTAGGATGGGCACTGCACTGAAAGTGAATGTTCTATCAGGGGTGTGATAACAGTGAGAAACTCAACAACTAAATATTCCTAACTCCAGAGAGGGCCCTAACCCCCAATCCAGACTCCAGACTTCCCTCTGAAATCCAGGAGGATAAATGGGAGGTTATTTACAGACACCTTAATGAGCGCACACACACACAATTAGACAGTGACAAGAAGCCCCTAATCTCTTCTCTGCCCTACAAATTCTGATACTATGCCCATCACTGTGGCATCAGAGCATCGTATAGAGATGCAGGAAGTGACATGATTTTCTTTCATCACACGTGGGTCGTTCTCCATCCTTCCCCCTGGAGAAAAAGTGCATATGCATTCTTATGGAGGGTTCTGGGGGTTTATTTGCAGATTTATTTTATGACACGCTGTGAGCTTATGCTACTAAAGGCAGATTTAAGAAGCTCACATTCAAGTGGAACAGAAAGAGGGTTCAGGTGGTTTTGTGATCCTGTGAGAGAAACAATTGCAACTAGCTGTGCTGGTTCTCTTTCTAAAAGATACACTTTAGTTCAACCAAAATTGTGGGCTTGATGTAGGAATTTGTGAAATCTGTGTTATTCAGGCGGTCAGACTAGATGAGCAGAATGGTCCCTTCTAAGCTTTCAAAGTCAAATATGAATCCCTGTTGTGAGATAACATAGCCAGATCTACAACACCCCTCCTCCAAAATAGTCAGATAGCTGTATCAGTGTCACTAATGAAAGAGCAAGCAAATGGCAGGAGTCTGCAGGAGAGTAAAACAGCCCTACTGGGTTTTGGTTACAGTATGATCATATCCACTCCCTGAGTGTAACAGAAAGGGGCTGTACTGGAAGCAAACACATACAGAAGTAAATAAGCATCCTGGCTGAGTTCTACAATTTCTAGCAACTGAACTATCTTGGTACTCCTACGGCCCCATCCTTGTAATATCTCAGCCTCTCCCAGACATTCATCAATTTACCCTCACATCATCCCTGTGAGTAACGTAAGTATCATTGTCTCCAGTGTACAGGTGGGGAGCTGAGGCACAGAGAGGTTAATAATTTAGCCATAGATGATGCTTTGGGATAACCCAGGCCAGTAAGGGGTTCAGTCAACATCTGCCTTGCAACCCTGGGTGCCTTCAATGCTATGTTGCTGTGGCTCTCTATTGGCTGAGACCATTATTGCCTTGCTATGGAAGAGCACAGAGCAATCCTCACTCAAATGACCCATTGTTAGGCACATGCTCAAGAAGCCATGACTTCAAGCTCTCATTACCCAGCCTTTACTGTCTATGTTCTGGGTAATTTCATTGAGCAGGTTAGGGGGAAACTACTCTAATGTCACCTGAGATCTCCTGCTGTACCTGAGTTATTTTGGTCAGGACAAATCCTAGGCATGGCATGGAAACTACTCTGATTTCATGAATCGATGATCTCCTAGCCGTGCTGGCTCTCTTACATCTGCCATCAACTTCTGACATCTTTGACATTCCGGGGAGGGAGGGCATTTGCAATCTCTGAGACCCCTGCGGCTTTCCCCAGGAAGTCTCTTTTTCAATTTCTCCTTGGAGGCCTTTGACAGGTGTCAGGGTCACACACCTGAGCGCCAGGGAGGATCCGCTTTGGAGTTTTCTCCTTTCTTACTAATTTCTTTTCATAGAAAATTGAGCTTCCCTATTTGGGAGGTTAGAGTTTCATCTCACTATTCAGTCTCATCCACCTATCACCAGCCAAGATATGGGCTCACCAATCACTAGATTAAGATGGAAGAAAAGTTTCCCACCTTGGATTCTGCCCCTTTGAAGCACTGGTGGTGTTTTGTCCTTCTGTCTTTCTTCCCTTTGCTCCCTCCCTCCTCTCTCTTCTTCTTTCCTTGCTTTTTTCCCTTCTCCCTGCTTCCCTCCCTCTGAGGCAATAGGTTCAGGGCCTGAATATATCTGTCCCTTCGCAGTAAGACAATATTTGCTTTCACAGCCACTGTCGAGTACCCAGCATCTTCCCCCTACTCTGTTGGCAGGGCAGTGTAACGCCCTCCCATATAGCTCCCCTCTAGCCTGTGCTGCTGTTGGAGAGTGAAGAGGAGGGAGAGGGGCAGAGACTCTGAACATGCACTGTTCAGTGTCCATCATTTAGAGCAAGTTAGTGGAATTTAGTGTTTCCTTAGTGGCTTCACCTTTCTGTCCAAGAAGGGGCAAAAATGGAGGGCAAATCTCCTCCAAGACTTGATTTCCTAACACAGCCCTCTTGAGCCCCTTGCACTGCGTCTGGACAGCACATTCCCTGCAGGGGGTTCTCCAGAGTCAACCCCACTGTGTTTGGAAATATCCCAGCAATAAGGATCCCAGTCCTTCCTTTGTAGGTGACTGTTCCTCAGGCTGAGAGTCTCTGAGATGGGCCATCCCCTGTGAGGTGCTGAGCACCCACAACCCCTGTGATGGGATCCCCGGGGTGAAGCCTGGGACTGTGGGACCACTGTGGCCTCTTAACTCTCCAGACTGGGCTGTCTCTCACAATGCTTTGCTAGTGACAAGCAGCAAACCCCTCCAGGTGCTGTTATCACTCAGCACGACAGTATGTGGAGCCCCACACCCAACTAGATTGCATGAGTGCTCCCAGAGCCACTCATGACTCACACAGAGAAAGGCACCAGACAATTCGCTCCCAGTTCCCAGCACTGTGCCTCAGGAAGACAAGCAGTGCAAGTTTATTAATTGGTTTACCACTTCATCAATGGAAAGTGGATATACACCAGACTTTGCAAACCTGAGCAGATTTACCAAACATTTCAGGCAAACCCACTAGTAAAGTTAAACAGTTAAACAAGTTAATTGACTACAAAAGATAGCTGTTAAGTGATTATAAGTAATAGGCAAAAATTCAGAGTGGTTACCATAATAAAATAAAATATAGGTACACAGTCTAAACTCTCAACCCTATTAGATTGGGTAATATCTAGATTAAGTACTTTTTCTCACCCCACTGGATATTGCAGTTCATAGTACACAGGTTTCACCCTGGAAACCTGGGCCAGTCCCCTCTGTTGGGGTCTTCAGTCTTCTGAGTGTCCTTGTTGATTGCAGTGTAGGTGGGGGAAGGAGAAAGGCCAAGCATGTGGCCGCTGTGTTCTGTTTTCTACCCTTAGTCCATGTGCTTGGAAAACACAGGTCCAGGCATGTCTGGCAGGCGTTGCTGACTCATAAGGTGAAGCAATACCTCAGTGTGTCTCCTGTGAGTAAGTCATTGAATTGAAACTCCTCTGCTGGACAATGGCTGGTGATGTCTGTTCAGCACCTATCGGGGCATTGCTTACCTCCCTTGTCATTCTCTCTGGAGAGTTAGCATCTGGGTGCTTCCCAAACCC